GCTTGAGCCCAGGAGTTTGAGGTTGCTGTGAGTTAGGCTGACGCCACGGCACTCACTCTAGCCCGGGCAAAAGAGTGAGACTCAGTTTCAAAAAAAAAAAAAAAAAAGAATTCTTATGCTTAACAAGATGCTTATAAGTATACCTAAAATATACTATTTAATATTTAATTGTATAAGAAAATTAGGGTACATTAAAATAGTGAATGTTACATGACCTTATGAATAACTTTATAGGTCATATGTGCACGAGGTAAAAATATAGTTAGAGAAAACAAAGTCTCCCTCCCATTGTGTTCCCTCCTAAGAGGCAACCACAGTTACCAGAATTACTTACAAATCCTTCCAGAAATATTTTACACATGTTCAGACATGTGTACATTGTGATAAACATGTGACACATTGATACAATAGAAACTATATTTAAAATAACATTAAGACGAGAAAAATGAATATAAAGTAGCATGTACAAGATGATTAAAATTATGTAGCAGTTTTATCATATGTATCCTGTAAGAAAGCCATATTATATGAATGGGTGCTTACAGTTAAGGATTTATTTTTTAAAAAATAATGTAAAATATGTAATTTAAAAATAATTTACCTGTTTGTTACATTCTTTAAGTTCCAATTCTGATTTCTCCAGAGTACCCTCTAATTTAATTATTTTTTGTTCCATTTCTCCTCTATGTTCTCGAATGGTCATATCTAAATGTGTAACCTAAATATAAAAGTAACATTAAACTATTGTTAAATTTTATTCTGATGTGAAAACTTGTTTGCTTGTAATGTGCTTTCAAATTGTTTATCACGAGTGTAACTGAAACATAAACTCATCTCAAATAAATTATTTTTAAAAATAGAAAAAATAATCATTCTTTACTAATACTGGTTCACGAGCTCCATATATATTATAGAAACTTATACGATTATGGTCATCAATTACAAACAAAATGATTCAGATTTCATATTATGTTGGATAAAAACTGCTAAATAATGCTTTCTAAATATTCTTGTTCCTCCAATACTTAGCTGTGAAAGTAACTCATTTAATTCCATTTTCTTCTGATACAAAGTAATATTTAAGAGATCAAAAGGTTCAGACACTAACCCTCATTCTCAAAATTTACTTAAAATTTGTAAAATATAGGCCGGGCACGGTGGCTCACGCCTGTAATCCTAGCTCTCTGGGAGGCCAAGGCGAGTGGATTGTTTGAGCTCAGGAGTTCGAAACCAGCCTGAGCAAGAGCGAGACCCCGTCTCTACTAAAA